ATTTGCCCTTTCTGTCTTGTGAGGGGAAATAATGATAGAAACTGGAAGAAGAATCTGAGGTGCATACAAAAAAATTCTGGTAAGGAAGACTGATGCCAGTGGATTTTTATTTATTTTTATTTTTTTTGTGGTCCTGGGGTTTGAACTCAGGGGTGTTCTACCACTGAGCAATATCCTCAGCCCATTTTATTTTATTTTTTATTTTTTTTAGTATTCTAAATTTTTCTTTTTTAATTAATTTTTAAATTTATATATGACGGCAAAATGCATTACATTTCTTATTACACATATAGAGCACAACTTTTCATATCTCTGGTTGTATACAAAGTATATTCACACCAATTTGTGTCTTCATACGTGTACTTTGGATAATAATGTGCATCACATTCCACCATCATTTCTAACCCCATGCCTCTTCTCTTCCCTTCCTTTCCCAGCCCCCTTTTTATTTTGAAATAAGAGTCTCACTAGGCTGCTGAGGTTGTCCTTGAACCTGCTATCCTCCTGTCGCAGCCTTCTGAGTTGCTGGGATTACAGGAATGGAACATTGTATCTGGCTTTCCAGTGAACTTGTTAAGTTTTTTATTTTGGAGGTGGGGGTACTGAGCCACATCCCAAGCCTTTTAAAATATATTTTATTTAGAGACAGGGTTTCACCGAATTGCTTAGGGCCTTGCTAAGTTGCTTAGGCTATCTTTGAACTTGCGATCCTCCTGCCTCAGCCTCCCAAGCCTCTGGGATTTCAGGCTTGTGCTATGACCTGGCCTCCAGTGAACTTTTAAACAGATTTTTTTCTTTTAAACTTTGGGGATAGTCTCATGCTTAAATGTTTCTAATTTCTGTGAGGCTCCTAAGGCGGCAGCAGCTGTCTGACCAAGTCCTAGAAAATGAGCAGGCTTTAGTCCAATAGAAGTAACAAAGTAGGACAATCAATACTGACAGTATTGATTGGTCATGCTTCAAGTCCAGTGGGTAGTAGGTATTGGAAGCTTTAGGGGCAGCTTTTCAGCAAGGTATTTAAGGTTGACTTCATGCTTACTACCTTCCCAGTCTCATACTCATGGGGAGTTGATTTTGACTGTATTTATGAAGTGAAGTCTCCATCCTCAGGCCCAGCTGCTACAAGGTGCTTTGTGGCTGGAAGAGATCATCATAGAAGTCTTTATTCCTTCCAAACATTAGAACTGGGTATGGTTCTGCACCAAGGAATGGCTGTTTATAATTTTTTGAGTGAAAAGTCAGGAGAATACCCTTATAATTTGTTCACTGCCTCAGTTTTGCATTTGATGGATTATTATTATTTTTTTTTAAAAGAGAGAGAGAATTTTAATATTTATTTTTTAGTTTTCGGCGGACACAACATCTTTCTTTGTATGTGGTGCTGAGGATCGAACCCGGGCCACACGCATGCCAGGCGAGCGCACTACCTCTTGAGCCACATCCCCATCCCGGATTATTATTTTTTTAACCGATGTCAAAACTAAGTCACTAAGAAGTGAAGGGCACCCATATTAGTGAGACTTTATTGTTAGAGTTAGATACAAGATAGCGGGCTCACAGAAGATGGATGTAAAAGTTGTTAGAATTGTTTAAAGTGATGTAAAGAAACAAGATGCTTTTTGCAGCTAGAAATCACTAGGGGAATGCTGGATGCAGTGGTGCAAGTTTGTAATCCCAGCTACTTGGCAGGGTTGAAATAGGAGGATTGCAACAATGTTTGAGGTTAGCCTGGGCAATTTAGTGAGTCTTTGTCTTAAAAAAAAAAAATAGGGCTGGGGATGTAGGTCAGTGTTATAACACCTCTGGGTTCAATCCCTAGTAATGGAGTGGCAGGGTGGGCTCCTGTGGAGGCATCTCCAGGGTAGGCAGAGCAGCCCTGCTTTCCTGTTTTCAAGATGCAAAACTTATGTTGAAGTGTCTTTCTTTTCTTCTTCTTTTTTTTTTTTTAATTTTTTTAGTTGTAGATAGACACAATACCTTTATTTATTTATTTTTATGTAGTGTTGGGGATTGAACCCAGTGCCTCATGTGTGCTAGGCAAGTGCTCTACCACTCTGAAGTGTCTTTCTTTTTGCTCTTACCTCAGGGGATTTGATGTCTTTTAAAACATTAGAAACAAAGAAATAATACTCAGGCCAAATAACTGGTTTTTTTTTTTGTAAAAAAAAAAAAAATGGGGCCATATGTACAAGTGGATCTTATCTGGTGACTCAAGCAAACCTTGAATACATCTCTGAAGAAAAAGAATGAATATATGTCAGCCCGGTTTAAAAACACTTTGGAGCCAAACTCACTTGGGTTCATCTCTTGCTAACTACTTTCTAGCTCTCAGATTGTAAGGCTTATTTTCTCTGAGCCTTAATTTCATGATTTAGAGAACAGGAATACCTATTTTTGTATCTGTCTTAAGAATTAATTGAGAGAATATATGTGGAAAGTGCTTCCTCTAGCACAATGTAAGTGCTTGCTGTTATCAGTAGTGAATAGCATGGAACATTGTAGCTTTCCTGTCATCTTCTACTTGGGTCAGTTCTTACCTTGCCTGGGTTCTCTCTAATGGGTATGTAAGCTAGCAGGCTCTGTTTCCTGGATAGTGACTGATACGGGGGTTTTATTGGAACAGGGATGGCTGGTTCAGAGCCTGCATGGGACCCTCTGATACTGAGTAATTCTCCTTGTCTCTCTTTTCTGTTCTTTAGCCGGTTGGAAAGCACTTGGATCATTAGGGGAACTTTCACTTCTGTTCCAGATTTCCTCTGATTTGTATGCCCATTTCTTCTGGTTCTTGTGCAAGATCAGGGAGGCACAGATATACTGAAATGGGTTTTATGTGAAAGTTGACTTTCTCTTTAAGAGAAACTGGTGCAGTGGGAATGGGGGTGGGGAAAAAGTCCCTGAAGCCTATCCCATTACACTAATCTCAAACTGAATTTTTACAAATCTGAGCACCATAACTATAGCCTTTACATATACCTTATTCCTTTGAATGAAACAAAAATGTAGAAGTTCATTATTTTGTGGGAATGCCCATCTGATTTGGTAAAAAGTAGAAATTAGAGTGTTTTCAAAGAAATACCATTGTCTTATTAATTTTTTTATAAGCTCTTTAATATATTTCTTGGTCTTATTACTTCTGTGCTGTGTTTGTAGTCACTTTTTCCTATTTCCCACTTCAGATTCCTCTAGGACAGTGTATATAAACTGCCACTTTAGGTCTTCCTATATTCGGTGCTTAATACTCTTAGGCTTGGAAGATTCTTTGGTACCCGCTAGTTCCTGAGCTACATCCCCAGCCCTTTTTATTTTGAGAGTCTTTGTCTTTAAAAAAAAAAATAGGGCTGGGGATGTAGGTCAGTTGCTAAGACTGTCCTCAAACTTGCAATCCTCCTGCCTCAGTCTCCCGAGTCACTGGGATTATAGGTTTGTTCCAATGCCCAGCTTGAATACATTTCAAAAGTGTCAGATTATCTTGGTGTTCCAAAGCCTATAGCAGCATGTCCCTTTTCTGCCACTTTAATTATATTCTGTATTGTTACTCACGTGTCCCCTTTATTCCTGATAACTGTTACATGTGGTCCTCTTAAGCGTGCTTCATGTTTGTGTCTCTGCCAATTCTTTTGCCCACAGGATTCTCATCTTGTACCCTACTTTTTGCCACATCTACCTTCTTGAGTGAACCTTGATACCTACCATGTCTCCATAGCAACACCTTGATTATAGAATTCAGCACACTGTATTCTGGTTAGTTGTCTTGTATTATATGAGCAGCTCAAGGACATGGGCTATGTTTTATTATGGGTTCCCTAGCATAAAGTAGGGTATAATATAGATACCATAAATTCATGAAAAAATGAGAAATGGTAATAATTCTGTTGAAATCTTACTTTTTCCCTGAAGTATTCCTTGATCCCTAGCCATAGTGAATTTAGCATGAGAGCCCTTCATATCGGAAGCAATTGAATGCCTTAGAATATATCTTATGCTCTTAACTGGATTAGAAGTTCTTGGAAGACAGAGATGGCATACCTCTTTTCTCATTGGGTACCCATTCCCTAGCACAGTTCTTGGCATGGAGAGGGTGTTTGGTAAGTGCTTGTAAATGCAAGAGTCCTGCTATTTGGTTAGCTTATGTACCTGCCAGTTGTTCAGCCTCCTCTGTCACTCACTGGCCTGTGGGTCTCCAACTCAGATGTTTTCAGGGCTAAGTGGTGAACATAGAGTGTAAAGTAACAGGAAATGGTAGACCTGTGTCAAACTTAAGTGCTCAGTTGCTTCATGGGGGGCATCTGTTACTAAGCCTGTCATTGTCCTGAGTGAACATGGCTCTAGTGGCCTTGTAATTTCTTATTATAAGAGAAGCCAAAAATCTAGATTTTTGTGAGATACTCAGGGATAACCAAAGCATGTTTATGGCCCAGATTAGACCTATAGACTACCCATTTGCAACCTAGAATTTTACATATTTGAGTTCCTTGTGGAAGATAAAGAGATATAACCTGAAAGTTTTTGAGGGAGTTTTGGCAAAAGTTTGGCTCTGGTTGAGTGTAGAACATCATCTAAGGACTGTGCTTCATTCTATTCTCCCTTGTTTTTCACCGGTCTGTGAAAAGTGACTTTTTGTCCCTAGAAAGATGGGGAACCTAGGATTTCTGTGCATTTTATCCTTCTTCCTAGTCTCTGCTGAGGTAGATTTGGTGGTTGTTACTGTTTCTGGTTACTCACAGCAACATGGTGGTCAGGTTGATATAGCATAAGCTCCCAAAGATCATTCCTGTTAATATCATCTCTGAGACAGAGCTCTGCGTGAACAAATGCAACTGAAAGGGCAATATATTATATAAAATTACCATCCATATGTGGCCAGCCAGAGATTATAGCAGTATAATAACTAGAAGGGAGTCTGTACCTCCACAGAACCTTTTGCTCTCTCATTCTTTGGCTCTCTCATTCTTTTCTTAGTCCCAAAGTGCCCCCAGCAGTGCTTATTTGCTTGGCCTTACCTTCCAGGTCTGAGAGCATTGTCACCAGTGGAATTCCCATCTGAGTCAGAAACTAGCCAACTAGAGTATCTCTGGAAGAACATATGAGAAACTGAAAACAGACTTTCTCTGGTGAGAGGTTTGGGAAGAAATGGGGGATGAGGGAGACTGATTTTTCACTGATGTACCTTTTCAAATTTGAACCATGATTATTATTATTATTATTATTATTATTATTATTATTTTGATTCTGAGGATTGAACCCAGGGCTTCACAAACGCTGTATTTTATTTAGAGACAGGGTCTCACAGAGTTGCTTCGTGCCTTGCCATTGCTGAGGCTGACTTTGAATTTGCAGTTCTATTGTCTCAGCCTCCTGAGCCATTGGGATTATAGGTGTGTGCCACCGCACCCTGATTATTATTATTATTATTATTATTATTATTATGGTACTGGGGATTGAACCCAGGGCCTTGTGCATGCAAAGCAAACACTCTACCAACTGAGCTATGTCCCCAGCCCTCATTATTATTTTTTTAACATACTTGTACTGATCTGTGTATGGTCTCCTCTTTAGATTTCACTGTGTCCTCATTTTACTCCTCTGAGGTGTTAGTTTCTCTGTAAATACCTTCCCTCAGTCACTAGATTGCTTCTCAGAGGTGACAGCTTTGCCTCGCCATTTCCATGAAGAGTCTAAGGGTTTCTTGCCAGGGGTCTTTGGAATAATTATCAGCCCTAACGTACATTCAAACAGTTTCACTGTTTTCAAACTATACTATTTACAAAGGGCTTTCAAATACAGTATTTTTTTTTAAAATTTATTTTTTAGTTGTAGTTGGACCCAATACCTTTATTTATTTATTTTTATGTGGTGTTGAGGATCAAACCCAGGGCCTTGCAAGTGCTAGGCGAGCGCTCTACCACTGAGCCATAATCCCAGCCCCATCAAATATAGTGTTTTATCTTATCCTTACAACATCTCTATTTTATATTAATAAATCAAGGGTTGAAGAGTCTAAATGACTCTCTTAGGATCATACAGATAGCCGGGGTAGGGTTGTGACTAATCAAGGTAGCCTTACCTTATATTCTTGCTCCTTTCTCTTAATTCTTTTGGCAGGAAGGTAGTCTTCTCTGTTTGATTTTTTTTTTTTTTTTAAATTTCTGGGTTTTAGAGAGGTTTTAGTTGGAATAGAAATGGAGCTCCTATGTTGTCTCTTTTCTCTTTTGGGTTGAGCCCACCACTTTTTGGTACTCTAAATTACATAAGCCTATCTTCTCTGGAAAAACGACAAAAACAAACCGAGGGATCAATAATAGGTTTCTCTGTTTTCTAGATGGGCTAAAGCTAACGCTCCATTGGGCAATATCTTTTAGGGGAGTTTGAATTAACAATCTGGTTTCCTATTCTTTGCTGAGAATTATTGCTGCTATTAGGCAGAGGGCTTTGTTTCCAGGTTACAAATCTTTTTAGCAAAGAAGTAAGTGTGGAATAGAATTGGAAGGACTCATGTAGTCCTTGGATATAATTTAATGCTCTATGTCCCAGAGAGTAAACATTGTAAAGTGTGCAAGATGGGTTTGGATTAATATCCTGACAACATATGGCTTGGCATGTAGGGCATTCCTTAGAGACCCTCTTCACCACACACAGCCTGCCTTTGCCGGGTGGCCCCTTCCCATAGGTCTTCCCAGCAGCTGTTGTGCACCTGGGTGAATTATCAGCTTCCCTAGGTTTAAAAAGATTTTTTTTAGACTGGTGAAAGTTCTCATTACAGGATATAGACAACCTTGTGAGACAATGTGTTTTAGTCCTACTTGGTTTTCCCTGAGTTTGTCCAGGGTATTCACCTCTCAGAGGAGCACTAGCTGAGCCTCATTCCTATTACTTTGGCTATAACATTGAAAATTGCTGGGATTATGGGTCAGTGGTGGAGTGCTTGCCTGGCATTTGTGAGGCAGTGGGTTCAATCCTTAGCACCACATAAAAATAAATAAGATAAAGGTATTGTGTCTATCTACAACTAAAAAATATTTAAAAAAAAGAAAAAAAAAGAAAATCACTTTCCCCTTTATAACTCTGCTGTCCCTGAGGTCAAGGGTATAGAAGGTCTCTGAAAACTTCAGGGAAGCAGTGGTACCATGGAGGGAAGGCTCATTTGCTTCTCAAGACTAGGCAGAAAGCTAAGACTTTTTACCTTTGCAATGTGTACTTGAATCAGAATTTAGAAGTCTTTAAGGAGCAGTCTGTGCATTACTGACACATCTCTGAGTTGCGGAGGCTCTTTTTCAATCTCTGAAGAAAACTTGAGCATGTAGAGGTTGTATTCCATTCTTTCCTTTCCCACCCCTGACCTGTGCTGTGCCAGAGAGAGCTATAGATATACTAGCTGTTGGCTTACTCAGGGCCTTCAGGTGGGCAGTTTTCTAGCCCTGGAAATGCAGCTGGTTTACCCAGATTTAAGTTCCAGGAGATTTCTCAGAAACTAGAATTAATAAGAACCCATCAAGTCATACTTCCAGTTAACTAACTCACTCTAAGGACCATGACTACCAAGATGATTGTGTGGATGGGAAAGAACATTCTGTCCTGTACAGAAGAGGCTAGGTGGGAAGCCATCTTATCAAGGCAAAAATGGTGGAAAAGTTTTGGGTATTAGCATCATCTGCACTCAAATTTAAGTACTAGCTGTGAGATTTCAGAAGCTTATTTAACCTCTCTGTTCCTGTTTCTTCCTTCAGAAGCTAATTTAGCCTCTCTATACCTATTGCCTCCTGGGTTTTCAGATGTAGTGATAATAATACATCTAATATATGTAAGCACTCAATAAATGTTTTGCTCTACTTGTTTTTCTCTTTCTTTCTTTTTCCTCTTCTCTCTGTATTATCCTTCTAGGGCTGTATCTTTAACCTGACCAGAATATCCTTGTCATTCTGTAAGGGAACTAGGTATTAGAGATGCTAATTTTTATTTTCTAGGTTCCTCTGTATGTATTTTTTGCAGAAGATGATTCCCCCCCACTTTTTTTTTTTTTTTGGTAGTATTAGGGATTAAACCCAAGGGTTCTTTACCACTAAGCCACACTCCCTTCCACTTTATTTTTTCAGAGAATGTCTTGCTAAATTGTCAAGACTGGTCCAAACTTGCAATCCTCCTACCTCAGCCTCCCATGTTGCTAGGTTTATAGGCATGTCACCATGCCTGGATAGACCACAGTCCTTCTTCTATCCCAGATAACAGATTCTAGCTCTCATCAGTGAATCCCAAGCCAGGGAGTCTTTCTGGTTTCCATTCAGTTTATAGTTATTTGCTAAGCCAAGTCTTGTTTATCCATGGGAATATGGTGGTGAATGAGACAGATGTGGTTTCTGACTTTAGTAACTCCTCTCTCAAACCCTATCCTCAGATAGGTTATTTCTGTGGGTGACTGGACTTGTTCATTCTGTGCTGCTTCATGTTAATTTCCTTCTCAGAGAGCAATCTTCTCCCTAGACCTAGGGGACAGTGCCTCTTTGTGCTGCATGGGCCTTGCCTTCTGGCTTGCCTACTCCCAAATGATGAGAGCAGCAAGCTGAGGATGAAGGAGAAAGCTCTTAGGGCCACTACTGCCTTGGCTACACATGTCCCAAGAGCCTGTGCTTGGCACTCCTGAATATTCCTTTTCTCCTTGCACACAGATTATAGTGTTCGCTAGTAATTTAAATTCAAATAACATTCTGCCCCTTCTCTGCCTTAAAAAAAAAAAACCAAAAACCTGTGTATTATAGGGTAGAGAACAAAGCAGGGCAGCCCTGGTCTCCTGGCAGGGTTTGTTTTATCATACGTGTTTTTTATGTAGCCTCACTGTGGGTTGCTTTTACTTTAATAGGGCTAACATGTAATTCAGGTATATTGATATTCTGCAGTAATAGAATCATGTCTTTCTCAATCTTGTTTGTCATAAATAGTGGGACAGGTAGATTCACGGGCTGGAGGTGTCCTGACTTGCTTTCTGCTTTGGGTTCCACACTTCATTTTGGCCCCTGCTGGGCTCTGTATAAAGGAGTCCCTGTAGCCAGGATGATGATTTCTCAGCTTCAAAATAGGGGCCTAAGATAGCTTTCTGTTCCCTGCTCCTGTGCCTATTACCAATTTTGCTGGCATTTGCCAAGAGATGTGTGTGGGGAAGAAGGCAGAATGGCTCTCTGGGAACCATTTATTTGAAAATTCCCAATGGAGAAATACATTTTCCTTTCCTCCTCCTCTTTCAGCGGTGTATGACATTGTGAGTTGGTACTGCTTGTACCTCTGCATACTGAGACCTGTGTATGACTCCTTCAGCCCTGTTGGAGTTTTCAACAATAAATTATTTGTTAATTGGTGTTTCCTCAAAATCCTGTCACCTTCCTGGGAGGGTGGGGAAATGTGCTAACAATTAGGGACCTAGTGGAGCCTGTTTCTGGCACTGAGACCATCAAAGGCATGGTGGTTAAGCCAGATGAACCACATATCCTACTGCTGCTGGGACTGGGCATTTGTTGCAGTTGAATTTAGTGTTAAGAGTCACGCTAGAAGCTTGGTTGGAAAGGAGAAAGCACTGTATAATTATTGCTTATGAACCAGTTAAACCTATCAGCCAACAGATGTCAAGTGCAGGAAAAAAGCATAATAATGTTATTATAATGGCATAATAGTTATCATTATAATAATCATCTGGCATAGTTTTTGATAAGAGGCAGATCCTGAAATGAGTGTAGGGGGAAGGGTTAACCCTGAACTGTAGCACAATGAATGGGTGCTATGCTTTGCATAGATGCTGGTGTTTCAGGTATGGAGGTGCTACCCTCTCTACATAGCTAAAAGAGCTATGGAGTCTTCAGCTGGTATTATCTACCGTGTAGGTGCTTTCTTTCTGATGGTATGATGGAGCACACCATCTGTCAGTTCAAGGTGCTCAGACTGCAGGATTATCATACCAGTGTCCAAAGACTTCTGGGAAAGGTAGAGACTTCATTTCTGTGGGCTCATTTAGAATTTCTAGGAAATTCAGTCTTATT